GGCGCGTTGGACCCTGCTTCTTTGGGCTAGACCCATTTTTACTTAACAATACCCCCTATCTCATACATGCTACACAACCCATCTCACATTTTTTTTTTACTTTTTTTTTTGCTGATTACAAAAATTACCTTTGGGTCTAAAACCAAACAAAAACTGTTTTACTCATAAACCACCCCCAATTCAATTTCACACCTCCCTAACTTTTATATTTTATTTTATTTTATTTTATTTTATATTTTATTTTATTTTCTTTATTTTTATTATTATTGATATTATTATTATTTTTATTAAATCAAAAATCCCAAAAAATATTTTTTATTTCATTTAGAATATTTTAGTATTTTTATTTCTTTTAAAGAGATCAAAAATATATTTTCTTATTAAATTTAATTTTTTTTCTTAATTAAATCATTTAGACTTAGATTTATTTAAATCTTTCTTTTCATTTAATCAACTTAGAACTTAGGAATTTTTATTAATTAATTTATTGCTTATCAACACTAAAAATCTTTTTCATAAAAACCCTATAAATATTTATTTTTTCTTAATTATTTTACTTCTTCTCCTTAATTAATTTAGGTTTAGTTCTCTTAAAGTAATCTAGACTAATTAATTATTTTCTTTTTAGTTTAATTAGGTTAAACCCTTTCACAAAAATCCAAACAAAAAAAATTTCATTTTTCTTTCATATTTCCTTTACATTCTTGTACATTATTTATTCATTCAATATGGTTGTAATAGTAAAATTAGGTTTTATTTGCTTTTATCTCCCCATTTGTAAATTTGTTCCCCCATCCCCAAATGATGTAATAGCGTAGAATTTTACATTTCCGCAATTTGTCGCTTTCAATATAAAATGCTAGTAATTAGGGTTTGTATGGCAAGACATAAAATCAACAAATAGAAAGCCCTAATTCAAAGATAAAAAAGTATGAAAACAAACACTTTGCACACTTACACCTCTAGGATTGACCTATCTTGTTTCCTAAGATAAAATTAGTCATGTTACGCAAACGTGAGATACTTTAGCAAAAACAATAAAAAACAAGATCATAGTCCCTCGATGACCCTTCAAATGTTGCCTTCATAAATGATCTTAGACCCTTACAAAAATTACTAAGGTATCCTACGATATTACTTCCTATGACTATACGATGACCCACGCCTGTCCCTTCGCATCCAATGATAGGGCTTCTTATCAACTAATGGTAAGATAGCAATATCTAATGGAGGAGAAAATGAACAAAGACTTTTTGAGTAGGTAGAACGTTCATAGTTGCTTGCTCACAACCATTTTTCAAATATCTTTCAAATACACCAACGCTTTCAAATGAAATATTTTCAAAAGTTGACACTTTGTATACATTCTTATAGAGAAGAGAATCATTACAAAGTTCACCTAAACAAAGGAACTTTCAAAAATACTTTCAAAAACATCACAAACACATTTCAAACAAAGCATTTTAAAGTGAGCTAGCAACTAAGAGCCCGTAGATAACTACGGATGAAAAGGGTACTAACACCTTCCTTTTTTATAACCTACCCCCCGAACTCAAGAAAATTCTCAAAAGGTCTTTCCTGTTCTTTTCACCCTTTCCTTTATTGGATAAAAGAAAAGTCGGTGGCGAGTGTTTACATGTTTTAACATGTAGCTTGTGTTTCTGTTTGTGGTTTTATTCCACTCTCTAGGTTTATTGTTCAAAAGGTTATTTTAGCCAAAAAATATAAACTGTGGAGATTGTTAGATCCATGGTTTTAGGATTGTAAATAATTTTGCTAAAAAATGGTTCATGATAGATGTTGAGTAAGATGTCATAACATGTTGATCTAACTGCTACAACAGAGTGTGAAGGTTACACTGAAGACATATGTTCTGTCAGATGTTGTGACATATTGTACCAGAATAATAATATAGGTTGTTTTAAATCTTGACAGATTTGATTTGTTTTGTGATATTTATTTTGGATATATCTCAATAAATTTTGTAGGTCAAGAAGATTTAACCTGAAATAAGTGAATCAAATCTCCAACTGCATTAAGGTTTCTAAAATTAGTTGTTGAGACAATTTAGAAATCTTGAAGATTTGTTCCAAGATTTGAGGAGATTTTTCTGCATAATTGATTAAGCCCTCAGCTTGTGGATCAAGAAATATTTGGGTGAAGATTTCAAAACCCATAGACTACTAAGGTGTATTTAAAGAGAAGACCTAACATAATGTAATTTAACTTTCACAATTGTAAAATTAAGGGAAGTCTAAATCTTAGGTTTTGAGAGTCTCTTGTGTTATTTGTAAGTCACCTACATATCTTTTAATACAGTGTGGTTGACAGTTTGTTACTTGATGGTTTATCAAGTTATTGTTCTTGGTTGAATTTTTTAAGTAAGACTAAGTATTGTTATCACTCATGAGCTTTTAAGCAAGGAGTTGAGTATTGTTTATTTGAAGTGTAATCTTCTTTTGGTTTCTAATCTAGTCATAAGGTTTGCGGTTGTAGGTATTACTGTGGTGATTGGAAGTGAGAGGGGGATCTCATATCTAGATGGTGATTTCTAGGTAGAAGTTGCACAAGATAGTGATTACGCGAGAAGTTGTAAACTGGGACTGTTTAGGCTTTGAACTAGTGCTATCATAGTAAATTTTCTTCCTGGCTTGGTAGCCTACAGAGTAGGTGAGTTACACTGAACTGAATTATTAATTTGCTGTGTTATTTATCATTCTGAAATTTATTTTACAATTTGATATTATTCTGTATCAAGAAAAAATGTCTCAATATCTTTCTTGACACTGTGTTCTGATGTTGGGTCATCAGTATTAACATGTGTTGTAAGTGCCAGAATTTCAGATCATCACGAGCTTTCTACAGGAGAACTACCTAGAGTTAATAGTTAAAATCAATCAAATTCATATTCCTCAGGACCAACTTCTAAATCACTTAATTTAGGAACACACAAATAATGAGGTCTTAACAGAGAAAGACATTCACGCCTTCCTGGAGGTTCATCATATGGCCTTAAAGTGGGCCAAACTAATATGACAATTTCATTCCTCATTCGACTTCCTTTATGACGCAGAGACCGATTCATAATAAGATTCCTTTGGATGATAATCTTCATAAAATGGATTATGTATTGGTTTAAATGTGTAGTTTATTAAATGCTCAAAGGGAGACAACATCTCACATATGTTTTGAGTTTAAATTTACTTCAGAAATCTAGAAGGAGATAATGGAAAAAATCAAGATCTTAACTTTTTCTAAAGTTATGGAGGACCTTAATCGGATGGCCATGCTAGGAGGGCAACCCAAGCTCAAAGATACTATTCGCACAATGATTCACATTATCCATCAATCTTGGTTGGCAAGAAATGACATAAGGTTCAATGATTTCAAATTGTTATTGACCATTGTAGTATGTAGAATATTTGCCTCAACTAAGATCAACTCCTTACTTTCAAAGGGTTGGGTGGCTAACCGTCAACTAGAGTATGACATTCTTAATAATCTCCAAATTGATAAAATATTTTTAAACTCCCCCTTAATTATTACAACTTTCTAGAGAAAACCACATACCTTATGGGTTAAGATTAACATGGATGGTTCAGTTAGAGGAATCATCACAACAGCGGGGGGCAATTGTGAGGGGCCGTCAAGGGATTTTCAGAGAGCTTTCTCTGCTAACCTAAGAGAGAGTAATGTTTTGAGAGCGGGGCTTCTTGTTGTTATGATCGTCTTAGAGAAGGCGAATCGTGGAAGGTATTCTAATGTATGGACTCAAAGTGATTCTCAGACGACTCTTCATTATGTCAGGATGTAATCCCTTATTCTTTAGAATCTCTGAAACATGTAGTCAAATTGTAAAATCTTCTTTTAAATAGGTTTACACACATTTTTAGAGAAGGAAACAGGTGCGCAGATAAATTAGGTTCTCATGGTTACGACATTTTAATTTTTTTTTTGTGGTGAGAAGTTCTTCACAGATATGTTGAATTTGCTGAATTACATATTTACTTAATCTTTGACTTCGAGGATTAACGGTTAACAATTTACGGGTAGGACCTGATTTCAATTATTGTTTTTATTCTCTTTTATTTAAGTGAAATCTAAATCTCAGATTTTATTTTTATATATGAGCATTTATTTAATTAAAAAAAGCATATAAATCCTCCATTAACTACTAATAAAGGTTAATAAATTTTGTGGGTCCCCAAAAGAAATGATTTCGTAAGTCCAATTTTGAGAATAGTTGATAGATTTTTATCGATGTTGCTTTGTTCAGTGATTATTTAGCTTTCTAAGTCTTACTATCTTAGTGATAAAGGCTATGATAGAACCATTAAACGTTGATAATCGACTTATCATCCTGATTAAGATCTAATCTCTTTAACTTCAAATTATTTTTCTCTGTCTTCCTCGGAAAAAGAAAAGTTGGATCAAATGTCCTTCTCCTTCTTGCTTACTTTCTTTGCATGTAAGTAGAGAAAGTTACAATATACATCACCAACCAGTCACACCGATTTAAGCCTTTCATGAAAAGGATATGGATAATTAATGTAACTTAAAACTAAAAGGTGTTTTTTTATATTACACTGTGTTTCATAATTGAGGTACCGGATAATCTTTTTAAAAATATAATATTATAACCTACATTTTGTAATAAACACATCAAAAATAAAATCTCAATTTACTTTAAACTAATTTGGTGGTAATAGCGTTTATGGTTGTAATTTCAATATAGGGAGTTTGGATTCTATTGTAAAATTGTAATTAGTGTAAAGATTAGGGCACGTAATTGAAACACAACTAGTAATAAAACTAACGTTAGTGGCACTCCAAATTCAAAGAAAATGGGACCTTACAAAGTTTGTCAAAATCAATACTCTTGTATCCTACTTCCCATGAAATAGACCTACGACCAAACATTTTCATTCGACTATGTTCTTGTATATAAATAACCAAAGTTTTCCCATGCATTGTGACCAATCCAATAAGTAAAAACCTACATGCATATCAAAATGATAAGTAAAAACCTTTTTGGGGCTTTTCTTTTTGCCACCACTTTCTTCTGGACTTCCCCTGAACTTGTTGTTGCTACACATAATGGAAGCATTACAAGACACTACAAATTCGATGTATATATAATAGCTCCTTTCAAATTTTTATCACCGCACACTGCCACTTAATATTTGAAACTAAATTAGCTTTAAAAAACGTTACCAAAGTATAACACATAGATCGCGATTTTTGTGTTCATAATCGAATTCACGCATTCAGTATATTAGTGATTTTTTTGACGGAATATTGATATCATTGTTTTTATTATTTGTGCAGATAAAATTGGCAAACGTTACGAGACTGTGTCACACGAAAAGCATAGTTACTGTGAATGGAAAGTTTCCGGGTCCTCGAATTGTTGTAAGAGAAGGGGACAAATTATTGGTTAAGGTTGTTAATCATGTTCCAAACAATATCACTCTACATTGGTAAGAACTTTTCGAAATTTAATATTATAACTTTAGAAGCATGAGATGAAATAATGTTGACAATAATGGTGTGTGACAAAAACAAAAACAGGCATGGAGTGAGACAGCTTGGTAGTGGTTGGTCGGATGGTCCATCATACATAACTCAATGCCCCATTAAAACAGGTCAGAGTTATGTGTACAATTTCACCATTGTTGGACAAAGAGGAACTCTTTTCTGGCATGCTCATTTCTCATGGTTAAGAGCTACTCTCTATGGACCTCTCATTCTTCTTCCAACTCACAATCAATCTTATCCTTTTCAAAAACCCTACAAGGAACTCTCCATCCTCTTTGGTACATGCACAATTGTTCCTCAATAATACTATTCCATACTCTTAAAATTTTTCTATTTTCTAACTCGAATATAATATTAATATATTATTACAAACCGTTAATACATATATAGGTGAGTGGTGGAATGCAGATCCTGAAGCTGTAATTGCACAAGCTCTTCAGACAGGGGGTGGCCCAAATGTTTCTGATGCCTACACCATTAATGGCCTTCCTGGTCCTCTTTATAATTGCTCCAAAGGTACATACATACATACATGCAACTTGTGTGTGTATATGTTTCCATGCCTACACATGATTTTTTTTTTTAACTTCTTTTCTCCATATCTCTCGCACAAGATTCAAAATATCAAAATTATTTTGTTTGGATTAAAAAACTTGATCAGTACTCCGAGAAAGTTTATTTTTAAATTTATTGAATAATTAATGTATTTAATCTAATTTTATAAATCGTGAATACATTTGATGAATTGATTGTTTTTTTTTGTTTGCAAATTTTGATTCATAATGATTATACATCATATCATATGATGAACAGATACATACAAATTGAAGGTGAAACCAGGAAAAACATATTTACTACGATTAATCAACGCTGCGCTCAATGATGAACTATTTTTCACAATAGCAAATCACACCTTAATCGTGGTTGAAACAGACGCATCTTACGTTAAACCATTCGAATCCGACACGATTTTACTTGGACCAGGACAAACCACAAATGTTCTATTAAAAACAAAACCAGATTACCCAAACTCCACTTTTTTCATGCTAGCTAGACCATATTTCACTGGCATGGGCACTTTCGACAATTCCACAGCAGCTGGAATTTTAGAATACACTAAACCATATAATAATCATACAATTATCACTAATCTTCCAATTATAAAACCTTCCCTTCCATCCATCAATGATACTAATTTTGTTGCTAATTTCAGTAACAAATTTCTTAGCTTAAATAGTCCTAAATACCCTGCAAATGTGCCTAAAACTATCGACAAAAACTTTTTCTTTACCGTCGGACTTGGAACTAGTCCATGCCCGAAAAACCAAACATGTCAAGGACCGAATAATAGTTCAAAATTTGCAGCATCAATGAACAATGAATCATTTTCTTTACCTTCTATAGCACTTCTTCAACAACATTATTTCTCCGGACAAGCGAATAATGGTAGCTATACCACCGATTTTCCTGTCGTTCCTCTTCGGCCGTTTAACTATACCGGAACTCCTCCGAATAACACTATGGTTAGCAATGGAACAAAGACAGTGGTGATACCTTATAACACTAGAGTTCAGGTGGTGTTGCAGGAGACAAGTATTTTGGGAGCTGAGAGCCATCCTTTGCATCTTCATGGGTTTAACTTTTTTGTTGTTGGTCAAGGTTTTGGAAATTTTAATGATAGTACTGATCCTGCAAAGTTCAACCTTGTTGATCCTGTTGAGAGGAATACTGTTGCTGTGCCTTCTGGTGGTTGGCTTGCTATACGGTTCCTTGCTGATAATCCAGGTGATTGATTAGGGTTTTGTTTGGATATATAAGCTTAATAAAATGATTATCATAAGATAAAATAAAGTCAAAACCTTTTTTCATAAAAACCATAAGCTCTTTTCATAAGCTACACTAAACATTTTTTCTCTTTGAAAATATTTAAAACTGTTGCTTAAGAGAATATGAAACGCTTTTCAACCGTCTTCTATACAAGTGTTTCCTATCATTTAAAGCAACGGTTTTTGGCTATATTTTTCTAAAACGTCGCCTAAACTATAAAAAGTTGTCTAAACTTAAAGAGATCAAAAAAATATGTTGAAAATAAATTATAATATGTGATAAGTTGTTTTTATATGATTGCGTGGTTGAAAACAGGTGTTTGGTTGATGCATTGCCACCTTGATGTGCACCTTAGTTGGGGATTGAGGATGGCTTGGATTGTTAAGGATGGAAAGCTTCCTAATCAGAAATTGCCTCCTCCTCCTAAAGATCTTCCTAAATGTTGATTACTACATATGTTTTCCTATACCATTTGCCTTTCCCATTGTAAATTTTCCCTCCTAAAGAAGCAATTTTATACCTTTCAATTTTCCAATTCCATGTAAATTTAAGAATTTATGATTTGCCACATTTTTCATTGTATCAATTTTTGTTTCAACCTAATTTTCAAGTGACAAAAAAATAAAGATGGGTGGTTTTTTATATATCATTGTACTTCCTTAAGGATTAATGATCACTTGATTTAAATTATATGTATTTTTCTCATCATCTTTTGAATATTTTGCTTACTTTCTTTATGACACTTATTTTTTGTTATAATAAAAAAAAATGAACCTTTACTTAAAATAGTCAGCAATACAATGAAATTAATAACAAAAAAATTGATTATTTAGTTGAAGAGTCAATTAAAATTATGAACTTTCTATTAAAACCATATATTAATATCTAAATATTGTTCATTTGACCAGTGTATTGGACCACAAACATTCATGCATTCATTCTAAAAATATGAGAGATTCACTTCCAAATAAGTCATTGTTTAATTATAGACGTCTTGATATATGATTTTTTTATAAATTTATTATAAAAAAGCTGAAATGTATTCAAACATATATATACTTCTTGACCTTATATATGTTGAAAACTCACCAAAGTCTATGATGAATTTCTACCACAATGACAATTTAATTATGAGATAAACAAAGAAAGAAGACAAATGATTTCTGCAGAGTTTCTCTCTGCTCACAAACTGTGAAAACTTTCTTATTCACTTTGCAACTACAAAATACTGTGAATGACTTGCTTGACTTGCTTACAAAAAATAGAGGTTACTCCCTCTATTTATAACTGAGCTTGCACCCTAAGCCCAAAGCCCAAAATATCTATTTTGTTACTAAATCAAATCAAATCTATTCTAGACTTAAATCAAATCTATTTAAATCTAAACAAATCTAATCTTTTCAACACTATGAATTACAATTTAACACACCACTTAATTCATTGTGTCTAAACTATCTATATTCATCATGACTCTTAGCCTTCTGAATACTTCGACTTGCACTCCCTTCGCCATGATGTCTGCAATCTGATTCTCAGTTCTACAGTGTTCCAAATTCATCTTCCCATATGCTACTTGCTCTCGAAGATAATGGAACCTCATTTCGATGTGCTTACTTCGACCATGTGCTATTGGGTTCTTCGCCAGATTGATAGATGACATGCTGTCTATTTTCATAGTAATTGCTCCATGATCTTTCCATATTATCAACAAATCATCTACATAGAGACATAGTATAAGCAATTTACTCTTGCTTCTTCTTACACATACTCCATGTTCAGGTGTGCACTTCACAAATTCCTTCTCCCTTAGGAAACTATCAATTTTCTTATTCCAAGCTCTTGGAGCTTGTTTCAATCCATACAGGGCTTTATGCAGCCTGTACACCTTTCTTTCTTCGTCATGTTTCACAAACTCAACTGATTGTTTAACATTGAATTCTTCGTATAAGGGTCTGTTGTACCCTAAAATTTGCCCTCTCATTTTATCAACATTTTCCATCACCAGGCTCTTGGAACTCAAGACCAAGCTAGGGTTTGCTCTGCTCAAGACATCTCCTTGCACTATTGGCCTGAAATTAGGGTTTGATTTTGCACAGGGATATTTTGACCTTCAATGCCAAAATTGACTTTCATACTTCATGTTGGACTCATAAGTTTTCCCATACCAAGTTTCAAGCCTTGAATCAAATTTTTGCCCAGTCAATTGGACAGTTGACCTAATGTATTGGGGAAAAAGTCAATTGTGGCCAATTGGCAGTCAAACCTCTTTAATTTTGACCCACATCAATATTATGAACTCATATGAACCATTTGATCAAGTTTGGACCATAATTCCACAAGAAATTTGATCAGATCACCAAAAGGGCAAAATGGTCATTTTTAGGGTTTTGACTATGCAAAGGCAATTTTTGACTGTTTGACCTAGCCAATGGAAAATTAAGCTCAACCATAGACTCAAGGACTCAATGACATTATCTTAACCCATTCAAAAAGTTCAAAAGATTTCAAATGCATGGGATTGACAGATGAATTTTCCAGTCAATTGATCAAAAATCAACTGTACATTGAAAAGTCAAACTTTAACTTTTTGGTCAAAATCAAGTGCCAAGGGTCATTTTTCATCAATATGTATAAAATTATGAAACTTGTTCATCAAGAAACCCAAAATTGCAAATTAGGGTTTGAAATTGAAAAATTTCATAACTTAGAAATTTTCTAAGTTATGAAATTTTCTTAATTTTTCCTAACTTTGTCCCACATTTTCACCAAGATGCAAATGGATTAAAACAAAACTTACAACATGAAATTTGTAGTCATCCAAAAAGTCTACAACTTTGATTCACAAAGTTTTCTCAAAAGAAGCTTGGATCTCAAGTTATGATTTTTGGAACAAGGGTCCCTAAAACTTTTAACTTAGAGAAATTTTGCCCTAATTTAGGTAGGATTTTGACCAATCTTCTTGGCCATTTTTCACATAGTTCCACTTGTATTCTCAAGTTGCATTTCAAATATGGATTATAGTACATGTTGCAAGCTTTCCAAATTATCCAAGAACTCCTCAAACACATTTGTGGTTAGGGAGAATCGAATGCTTGAAGTTGGCAAAAACTCACTTTGTAACCATGGCCAATACATGTTCATACAAGTTGCAAAATCTGACCAAACTTGCTTTGTACTTGATTACAGGTCTCTAAAACAATTTACACTAAAAAATTGAATGCAAATACATTGGTTAGATGCATTGTTCTGATCAAGGGAGCATTATACAATGAACAATTCCATTTTGGGCATAAAGATAACACTTCCATTTACATAAAGCATGCTTTATGTCAAATTCCATTTCTTGAGCCATACACCAAGCCCTTTGCTGCAAACAAGGCTCCCTAATGTCAGGAAAAGCTCAACCACTTTGTGCAGCTAGCTTACAAGCCAGTACAACCCTTGCATTGTCAACTCTCATTTTTTGCTTCAAAACCAAGTCATTGTGCCAAAAGGACATAACTTGCATATCTGATAAAATCAACTCAAGCCAAGATTTCAAACAAGTTTTACACATTGCCTAAGGTCAGAAACACGAGCCAATCATCCCTCAAACACCCTTGAACACCAAAACACCAAAAACTTGCAAAACAGGGCAGTTGCTGCAACTTGAGTGTCATAGCTCATTTTGCTCGTGCGTTTTGCTCCTTTCCACTTAAAACACCTTCCATTAAACTCACTCAAGCTATCCCAAACCTCCATTGCCAACTGTAACTCCATTTACAGTGTTCACCATTTTCATTTCAAGCTTGTGCAGGTTGACTTCCGGAGGTTGATTCAGGAACATTTGAAGCAAACTAGCTATTGGAAAAGGTCTAGGGAACATCAAGCAAGCTCAAAAGAACCTCAGACCTCACTGAAAGTTGTTACATTGTCCAACTCGAATCCAACTGAAACAGGTTTTTCATCAACTTCTATCTCTCTATTTAGGAACATTTAGCCTTAGGTTTGTGAATGAAAGATGTAGTACTCATTGCCCTGAAACCATACATATGCTCAATTTTCATTTATATTAAACATGCTAAGAGAATTTCATCCATGAACTTTCTGGAAAAACTAGGTTAGAAATTAGGGCCTGAGAAATTCTCTCTGGTCTTTGAGAGTTAGATTAAGTTTTTTATATGGTTAGAATCGTGGTTTGATGCTCTACAAGTTTCATGTTTTGAGTTTTGGCAAAAAATCACAAATGCAGGAGTTAGCTGTTTGAACTCAGAACACGCGTTTTTCACAGTGCTGGAGGAAGAAGATGAAGACTTGGGCTGGACTGGCTTGTTTTTGCTTCTAACACCTTCTTTTTCAGTTTCACACCCCCTGGGCCAACTTCTTGTATTTTCATTATTTTTGCATTTTAAATTCATTTCTGACTTTATTATTTTATCTCCAAACATAAAAAAATGCTTAAAAAAATGTTTTCATAATTTTTTACATTTATTTGGTATTTATTTTAATTTTTTCCAATATAAAAAAAACATTTTAATATCTTTTTCTTATTTGTTTAAATCTAAAAAATAATGTAAATAATACTTTTATTTTCATTTCTTATTTTTATTCACATTGGAAATATTTTCTTGAATATTTTATTTTTGTAAATATTTTATTTTATTTTATGCATCCTTAATATATATATATATATATATATATATATATATATATATATATATATATATATATATATATATATATATATATATATATATATATATATATATATATATATATATATATATATATATATATATATATATATATATATATATATATATATATATATATATATATATATATATATATATATATATATATATATATATATATATATATATATATATATATATATATATATATATATATATATATATATATATATATATATATATATATATATATATATATATATATATATATATATATATATATATATATATATATATATATATATATATATATATATATATATATATATATATACTTTATTTTATTAAAAACATAGAATAAAAATACAAAAATAGTACATTTTTATTTTTATTGTTATTTTATACTAAAAAACACTTTTTTTTCAATATATTTTTATTTTTGTACATTTTAATATATTTTTGTATATAAATAATATAATATTATTTTCTTTAAGGAAAATTAGGGTTTACCCCTTTATTAAATAAAATCAACTTTTTTTTATTTTAATTATTTACACCTTTTTTCACATTAAAAAATGCTTTTCATACATAAAAAACTCTTTTTGCATAAATTCATTTTTATTTAACATTTATTTATTGTGTTTATTTAAATATTGCCCATTTAAATATTATGCATTGTAAATTCAATTTGGTTGTAATAATTTAGGGTTTTAATTTCTTGCAAAATAATCCCCTATTCAAAATTGTACCCCCTCCCTATATCAAAGTTGTAA